ACGTTAACACCGCAAGGCCTGGCATTTTTAATCCGACAACGTGTGCTCCGTAAGCGGCGTCGATACACATTTCACGTGCGAGCGTATCGTATCCATAAAATCGCGCTCCGCTGCGTCCGCTGTGAGAAATACGAAAGACGACGCCTCCGCGTCGAAAGCGTACGAAAGCGAGGATTCCGATCGCGAGTAAATTTAAAAATGCGTCAACTAGAAGCCGCGGAGTATATATCTTCGCGCATGTACGCGAAAACACGCGCCTCTGCAACGATGGCATATTTACATAACACGTGGTGTAACGTTAACCATCGATGCGATGCGGTGCGGGATGTATCGCGTTGAGAGATCAAAAGAAACATTCCGCCGCCGTAAAAATTTGAGGGCGTCTATATAAAAGCCATGAATGCGGATCGCGCGAAACTTTACGGTGTCGTGACGCACGGGGGGTCCTAAACTTTGCGAGCGTTAACGGGACGACGAGCGGCGGCCGATGGGATAGTTTCGCGACTTTACGTTACGTAAACTTATTCCGGGCTTTCTTTCGGCGGAGGTCGGTAAATTCGAGCGCCTAATTATAGAGGTGCCAGAGAGAACGCCTTCAACACCACCACCACCACCACCGTCGCCGCCGCCACTCGCTTGCTTCTTCCCACGAGGAACTCCGGCGGCGGTATGCAAGGTGCTGGAGAAGGCACTTGGCTCACCACGAACTAAGAAGTTTCAATTTCCGAACATAGTCGCGGCACGACGGTGTTATTAATGCAATTAAGCAGGATTTCCTTCACACAATACGACCTTGTTGACTACGCTGATAGAAAGTAATCGCAAGAGTCGCGTCTTAATCCACTACGTGTCACAATATTCGAACTGGGACGAGCGTGAAGAAATGCACAAAGATCGCTTCTGAGGTTTCCCCACGTCTCGGCGGATTAGCTGTTGCGACTCGGTTAAGGTTTTATAGACTTTTGAAACCGGAGTTATGAAAGAAAGAAAATACAGAAAAAAAATATATGTATATATATATATATTTGAACTGTAGAAAATTTAGAAAACCATTTCCGTTCCGAACTTTCATTCATCTCGTAGATTTGCTCGACTCGTTCCTCGAAACCCGGTAACTCGCAGCCGTCTGAATATTCAGATCGCTCTTTTCGTCACCTGAAGTCAACCAATACGTCGTCTAAATAGCTTTACCCGGTGCGACGTTAATTGCGCTGTTTCTTAACGAGGCACACAAAGGTAAGCGTGTTTCCGCAAGGCGACGAAGACAGAATAAGAGAAAGAAGCGCGCGCAGAGAACGCGAAACCGTTCGCGACGCGCTATTTCAATTTCAACGTCGAGCCGCGGCGACACGATGTTATTGATGCAGCTACACCACCGTGCCGCCGCCGCCGCTGCCGCCACCACCACTGCTGGTGCAGCCGCATGTGCAATAATGCGAGTTTACTTTACTCCCGTATGCGTCGACGATCACAGCTTAAACGCGGCCTTGCGCCGTTCTCCAACTGCGCGTCCGCGCGCTCATCAACCCCTCCGCGTCTCACCCTCCGTCCCGCGATTACACCGTCCCGTGCATTACACCACCCTGCCGTCCTCTACTACGCCTTACTTCCGCGCGAATAGGAACGCATCGAGCGCGTTGTTCTTTTTCCTTTTTCTCGAACGTGTCCACGGCGCTCGAACGTGTCGAACAATTAACTCGACGTCGCGCGTTTGATTCGCGCCAAGTCACGACCGGCCGATCATTTTTCATTCGCGGTACCGAGCGAAACTCGAGTTTTCCTCGAAGGGATATCGCACGCGAACGAGGCGGGAGAGGGATAGAGATAGGATAGAAAGAAGAAGAAGAGAGATCGCGAGAGGGAGAAAGAACGAGAGCGGTCGCACGGTTAAGGGAAAGAACGAAGACGACGCGACGGTGCCACTTGTTTTGGCGTCGTTTTCGCTAATACCGAGCCGAGCCCTTCCGTACTCACCTCCTCGAGTTCGTGCTCCGTCTGCAAAGTGGGAAAATAGTAGCTTCGACAAGGCTCTTTCGGGGCCGAGCTTGTCGTCCGTGTGTGAGCGCGCGCGACCTCTTCCCGATTCGCCCCGCAGAACTTCCGCGGACGACACAATTCGGTTCTCCACTTCGCCGTGTCGTTTCTCACTATCGAAAGAAGGTACGCGGAGTAGAAGCCGAGCGACGCAGGGCCGAGCGAACGAGCGAACGGGCGGAGACAATACCGCGGGTGGCGAGAGTGGCTGGCTGGCTGGCTGGCTGGCTGGCTGGCTTGCGCGACTTTGGCACGAACATCACGTGCCGCGATAAAGCAACGTGCCGATCCGGAGTAAGAGCACGCAGGGTTGCTCGACCCACATTGCAACGGAAAGGTCTCTTTCGGGAGAGCCGATTCGCGTCGAAACGTATCTCGCGGATTTAACCATCCCTACGTACGTGTGTGACGACCCGCCGAGAGCTCGTGGACGTTAAGTGTCCGTTGTAACGGTCCCGTCTCTATTGTCTACGCTACAGTTTGCTCTATTGTCTGTAAAAATTCCACGACGGACGCGCCGATTATTGAAGACTCGCATTCCCGCCGCACGTGGAAAGAAGCTCGCGGTGAATTTGATGTTTCTTTTTCACGAGAGTGAGAGTGAGAGAGAGAGAGAGAGAGAGAGAGAGAGAGAGAGAGAGAGAGAGAGGTGCCGGAGCGCCGGATAGTTGATAGATTGAAGTGCACGTAAGTAATCGAACGGGCTCTCGCAATTCGGCACGTTCGGGCAGCGGTAATAGGTCCGCGATTAAAAGCCGCGACGCCCAGAGTGATTAGCCGAGTGATTAAACGTCGGGATCAAGTCGGCCGTCGAGAGGAAATCGAGAGTGGTGGGATCGCGCGCGCCATAAAATCCGTTTCGTAATGTAATCCGCCGTAATAATAATTAAATTTGAGAACGCGAGCGGTCCTCGGGGTATCGCGTCGCTGACGTCACGCGAGCCGCTCATTTAACCGAATATCGTGAGCGAAATCGCGGAAATGCAACGTGAACGGGGAAAACGTCGGCTCCAACCAACGAGATACATCGGGCTTGCATCGAGAAGCGGGCTTTTTCACAAACGTCGGTCAAAATTAAAGCCGAGGCTTCGCGCTACGGATCTACTCGTCTTCACACAAAGACACAATTGCTGAACGGATGGATTGTGTGACGCGCGCGTGTATGTACGTATGTGCGCACGTGTATGCATGTGTGTCGATCAAGCTACGGCAAGCTCGTATCTAATATCCATGGAAAACGCCGCGCTAGATTACCGATATGTAAATTGCGCCAGTTTCGCAACAAACGGATCATAGACGCGCGCCGGTCGCGTTGCTCGCGTGCTCGATTCATGAATGCGACGCATTCATAATCCTAACATTGTTGACGTGTAACGCGCGTGACCAGGTCTAATGTAGCGTATAACGAGACGAACGATCCAACGACGCAATCGACTTGGAGTAACAGCTCGATAGGGAGGGCAAGGGGAGGGAGAAGGAGAGAGAGAGAGAGAGAGAGACAGAGAGAGAGAGAGAGAGAGAGAGAGAGAGACAGAGAGAGAGAGAGAGAGAGAGAGAGAGAGAGAGAGAGAGAGAGAGAGAGAGAGAGAGAGAGAGAGAGCAAGAGTAGTGGCTCTCCTCGCGCAATAATATCGAGCGAAGAAGGTCGCACGCGGCGACGTCTGGGCGAAAAATTACTAGCGCGCGCGAGAGGGAGAGAGAGGGAGAGACGCTCGCTATTAACAGATATTATGTAAAAGAACAAAAGAGCGTATAAGTGGCAGCGACAGAACGGAGCCGTTGCGAACATGTAACGACCGCTCGAACCGTTGAGCAGAAGCGAGCGCGCGACGGCAGTCGAACGAGTCTTCGCTGCCACATGCTTCGCGAGCTCAAGGACGCCGTATGCTAATAATCGATAAGAACGACTCGCCAGATAATGGCACGATTGAGAAGGCGGGTTTCGATATTCCGACGAGGTTCGAGTACGTTTTCACGGGAAGAGAGGCCATAGTCGCGCCGCTCAAGGACATCTTTCTTCCGCGAATGAGCCGGCGATTTTCCCCATCGGCCACGCACACGCGCGCGCGCGCGCGCGCGGACTTTCCCACGGCGAGCGTGACGCGAAACGCATCTTCGCTGGCGCCACGCGGCCTTCGTGATTTTCCAGCACGCGAGGCGCGCTATGATCGATGCGTTTCGGTGAATGAGCAGGACGCCGACGTTTCGTGAAGCGCGAGTCTCGAGTTTAGCGGCAAGCGATCCGCTACGTGACGGAACAATAATAGTGGGAGTGGGTGGTGGAGGCGGTGGTAGCAGCAGCAGCAGTAGCAGCAGCAATAGCTCGTTTCCGAAAAAAAAGGAACTCGTTCTCCGATATCGAAACTGGAAGAGCAATAGCGACCGGCGCGGCGACGGCCGCGCTATTTCGCCGAGGGCCGTGCGGGCGTTTGTAGAAATAGGTCGCGGCCGATTCGGCCAACGTCGGGGCAGAAATTTCGAAATTTACGCGAGAGAGACGGAACGGACACGCCGTGCCGCGCCGCGCCGCGCCGCGCTTTGAAGTCGCATTATAGGCAATAGCAGCAGTTAAACGTTGTTAAATGTCACGTGTCGCGGCGCGCGAGTCACGCTCGCGGGCGTGCGCGTGCTCGGACGGACGTAGGGAATGCGCGTGGATGTTAAAGCCGGGCCCCGCGTCATTAACAGAACAGTGTGCGGAACGTGAGAACGCGGACACGCGGAATAACTGGAAAACGCGCTCACTTCTCGCGCGCGTCTACCGTGTCGGCCTCTCGCACGCCAAACAAACAGCTGTCCCGCGGCTGGCTGTGCGTAGTACAGCCCGCAGTGCACCTCGCGAAGTCACATCTCTGTCGAACGACTTCCACCACGTTCAGCCGTGTTCCCGCAGAAGCGATGTATGCACATGTATATGTATATACACGTAAATGTGTGCGTAATAGGATCACAAGTGGTCTACCTACCCGACAGTCATCATTCGAAGAGCTGTTTTACACCGCTAATCAACGTGAGCCCAAACGGACACGATCCCGATGCTGATGCGCCGCGGTCTTCTTCGCGAGAAGTCGCCTCTCCGCAAGAAAAGTGTACGGTCCTCTCTCTCTCTCTCACGCACACGCACACACACCCACATACACACACCGGCCGAGCGCTATCAATGGCACATGGGCACGTTACGAATCATCGTTGCGATCACGTACAGACGGGAATCCCAGTTATCCCCCACGATCCTCCACGATGATTACCCCCGCGGATCAATCGACGTTACTCGATTACCGGTCGGGATTATCGGAGGAGCGCCTTCGTGTCCTCGGCGATGATCCGCGCAAACAGGCTGCAATACGAGTCAATAGGTATCGCCCGGCGATCCTTTAATAATCCTTTCGGCACCGATAGTCAACACGGAACAAACTCGATTATCTCGAAACACCCGCCGTGCCACACGGCGGAGTCTCGCGCTTTCTCCGCGAGCACAATGATCAGTGCGATCTCGATCAGTATCCGATACCGCGCACCGAGCACTAGTCAATATCGACCGCTCTTCTCCACGTACCCTTCGGAAATCCTCCCGTCTATAAAGGAGAGACAATCGGAGCACTCGGACCGGCCGTGTTCTCGCACGACGAGATACTGCACCTCCAACACAACCCGATTGTCCCCGCGCGAAATTTACCGGGCTGCTGGTATCTTCGCGCGTGAGCGCGAGCGCGCGGGCGCGCGCGCGCGGAGCGGATCTCGACGGCACTGACGATTATTAGTGTACTCGTGCCAGTCGTATACGACGACGACGACGACGACGAAGCTGACGAAGACGACGAAGCTGACGAAGACGCTGACGAAGACGACGACGACGACGACGACGACGAGACGATAATGACGACGACGGGGGCAACGCGGAGGTGGAGGGAGCGGAGCACTTGCGTCAACGCATTCACGGGGGGCCACCCGTCGCGAGATCGCTTTCGCCGACGCGAACAGGTGGGCACACGCTCGACAAGTCACGCCGCGTGCGGAACACGCGAGTCTCGCGAGCTCGGTGCTCCCGACGTTACAGGAGAATACGCACGCGTCGTCGCGACGGCTTGACGTCGACTGAGGTGACGCGGGTACGGCGCCTCGCGCCTGTCCGCCCCTGCTTTGCCGCCTCCTCCACCACCGCCGCCGCCGCCGCCACCGCCGCCGCCGTCGACGCCGACGCTGCCGCCACCTCCCCCACCTCCACCTCCACCTCCACCACCATCGTCGCCGTCGCCGCCGCCGCCGCCGCCGCCGCCGCTGCCGCCGCGGTGCTGCCCCACCAGAACACGGAGGCGCCACCAACGCTTCTACACCCTCACCGGGTTGCTACTCCGTTCCCCCGATGCTCCGCCGAGCTCGTGAGCGCACCGACGCCGCGTCATTCGGCGTCGCTGCAACCACGAGGGCGGACGTCGACGACGGCAACGCGATGACGGCCGTGAACGTCGATAGATCATCATCGTCCGTAATGATGATGAGCAGGGGAGGGACAACCGTTTGACCTCCGAGGCGCTGTGTTCTCTCTATTGTATCTCTCGCTGCCAATTGTTAAATACTCGGCCAGCCGAGTAGGAGGTATGGACGGTGGTGGATCGATATTTCTCTTTCGACGAGGGATCTTAATTGACGGTAATGATGAAGTCGCGACGCGAGACGCTCGAGTCCACTTGTAGCGATGATAGTCTGAACATGTCCGAGATAAGTCCGGAATCAGTCGAATAAAGGTGTTTTCGCCGGATCAGTGGCGCCACTTGACATGCGTCGGAGCGTGTCAAGTTGCATTATATTAAGAGTGGCTCTCTAATTTATATTCTCCGCCGGGAATGAAAAATTTTTGGCACTCCGATAAGTAACGAGGCTTTCGTTAATATCACGGCGCAACGACGGCATTACGTGTGTGTGTGTGTGTGTCTTTGAAGAGCGGGAGCGATAAACTCACGGCCATCATCGCGGATGCAAGCGGGTCACGAGAAATGAGCCAGAGTAAATGAAACCGCCGCTGCTGCTCCGCCGGTGCAGAGCGACGTGGCCGTTTTCGGGATGGAAACCGCATGCTCTCGTCGCTTAAGCGCTGCCACCGCGTCATTCGTCGTCGTTACCGCCCGGAGGAAAAACGCTGACGCCACCAAACGCAGCAACATGTCGCGGTGGCTCCGAACAGCAAAAGGAACCTCCGCGCATCCGTTTTCTCGACAATTCCGCGCGCCAGCCGGTCTCGCGAGCAGCGACGCGACTTCCCCTGTCGCCGCGTCGCGGAGAAACGTCCCGGCCGCTTTGCGTTTTCGCTGCCGTGTGACTGCGCGACAAGAGCGAGCGATAGTAATCGGGCAAGGAAACGTAACGAGACGCAACGGTGGCTGGATCGTGTTCGCGAGAACCTTGGATCACCGGAGACAACAACTGTCGCCGTCATCGTTTCGTTTCGTCTCGTCTCTCGTCCTCGCCCTGGTCGTCGTCGCCGTCGTCGTCGTCGTCGTCGTTGTCGTCGTCGTCGTCGTCGTCGTCGTCGTCGTCGTCGTCGCCGCCCGCACCAACCGAGTACCGAGTACCGAGTACAAAGAACCGTAATTATATGGTAGGCGGTTTTTGGTGGCGCGTGTGCCCGCGCCTTCCATTATGACGTTAGTATGCAGCCGCGAATAGCCGGCACTTGGCTATTTGTCACGACTGTCGCAAGTTCGCCCAGTTTAATGCATCCGCGCCCCCGGGCCGACTCCGCGCTACTCACCCACCCGCCCACCCACCCATCCACCTAGTCGGTCGTCGCCTTTGCCGCAATTTTGGAGTGGCAACGCCGTTAACAGGCGACGTTTCCTTGGGTGCACAAAGCAACGGTGCTCCGCGGCGCTCTGAGGTTCTCGTGGCCGGGCTTGACTGATGCTGGTTTGCTTGGCTGCGAAAAGCGCCGGCGATGCCGTTCGAGCGGCAGCGCGATCGATCCGTTTCTCCTCTCTCTCTCTCTCTCTCTCTCTCTCTCTCTCTCTCTCTCTCTCTCCCCCTTCTCGGTAGACGTGAACCTTTGAGGTGCGATAGACGCGATAAGCGAACTCGCGAAATTTTAATCGACCGGCCGCGGTACGTCACACCGCTGCGACGTAGCAGCGAAATGCAAAGTCGGCTCGTAGCGACCACGAAGCACATTCTATCATTCCGCGCGAATCGCTTTCTCGTCGTCGTTGACGTCGCGCCATCGTCGCCACAGTCGTCGTTTCGCGCATATGTCCGTGCGCGAATTAATTCGCTGTCGATTAATCCGGCGTGACATCGATAAAGAGATTCATATGATAAAACAGTCATGACTGGCCGCGAGCGCGACAGGACTTATCGGAAACATCGCGCGAATTCACGTAAATGGATCCGTACGCGGCCCGGCCGCTGCGCCACATTAGCGCGATTAGATTATTATTGGCGGCTACAATTCCGCCAATGACTTATCATTATTACACGGTGAGCGGGGAATTACGAATGATAATAGCCATTACAAGTGCGACGATAAATATAAGCGTCGTGTGCTCTATCGATAATCTTTCATTCGTTCTACGTCGACTTTTCCTAGCGTTCCTAGCGAAGCTCGTTTTTCTCGGCATGGCGGGGGGGAGGAGGGGAGGGGGACGAGCGTTTTCAAGAGGAACGACCGTTGAATCCCGCGCGTGTGACAGAGCGCGGCACCGGTCGCCGCGCGGACGCGCGTTCAAGGAATGCCGATTGTGATGATGAATTCCCGTACGTTCGCGTCCTTCTCTCCGTAATGACCGCCGCCGCATCGCGAGTATATTCGCTGCCTTCGAGCTGCCGGCGCTTTGAATTCTTGGCTCACGCTTACGTAATGACTGCCAATTACGGCACAAATTGCGAAGAAAAATTAATAGCGATACACTTCTGCATTATTGCCAAGGATAACGTGCAGTTGCGTACAAGGTACAAAATGTATATGCATAATAGGGGCAACGGCGCGCACTTGTGCAAAGTTTCCGTTGAAAAATGAGTCGAGTATGCATGACTGCGCGCGCTGTAATTTTTGCCGTGCACAGTTGCGACGTGATATTGATATCGGCAGCTGCGCAAAGCATCGAGGTCGTCGCTTTTGTCATTTACAAACGCCGCATCTCGAACTGTAAAATCGATCCGCGCCAAAGTTTAGGTAAACCGTTTCCGATATGTGAGTTCGCGATAGCGAGTGCGCGCGCCTTGTGTGTGTGTGTGAGAGAGAGAGAGAGAGAGAGAGAGAGAGAGAGAGAGAGAGAGAGAAAGAAAACGCGCACAATCGAAGAGACAGAGAAAGAGGAAGATTTAAGATTCAATTTAAGACATCTCCATTTTCCTCCGGCATGCTCGCGGGGAGCCCGCGCTTCCCGTTTTGGGGAACGCCGGATGTATGACTATATTGATACGCGCGTTAACAAGAATTGAAAACAAGGAGAGAGCGAAACAACAGGTGAATATTGCGCAACTGACAAAAAACGTAAGGCAGCGAGGAATGATATCGAAATAATATTTTCCCGAGATATACATTCTATTCGGCATCTCGCGCGCGTTTCCATCGGTATTTGAACGATAGCGCATCGCGTTCCTCACAACACCGCCGTTCTGTCTGTGGAGGGAAGCTGCACGAAAAAAAATGCACGTGGAGCTCGTTTCCTACATGTGAATGTTCATACTTGTTTGCTCTTCGGAATGCTCTTCGAATTGTCTCGTATGGGCATTAACGCGATAGCACTTGGACGCGTCGAAGCGTAAAAATTGAACGAAATAGCACCCCCCGATGATTACACGCACGTTATTTATAGCTTATGAAAGGGCAAGAGCATGTAGCTCTCGGAAGCGGACTCGAAAAACCGACTCCGCGCGCATGTGTGTGTGTGTGTGTGCGAGACTAAATAATAATAACGTTAGTTACCCGGAATATTTATGAGTCGGCAAACTCTCGCGGGTAAACGCCACGCGCCAGCCGACGGGAAGGAGAGTTTCGAATGCGTAACCGAACGGGGCGATATTTTTCTCCCGAGTTTCGATTTTTGCGAGCATGGGTATACGTTGTCTCCGTTGGAATCCAGTAGCCGATCGCGCTCGATTCCCCTTTCCCCGCGAGCGCGTATCTTTCTAACCCCCTAAGAGCGTGCCGTTGACGGCGAAGTTGCCGTTTGGAGAGGGGAACTTTTTAGAACTTTGCAGCGAGGAGCGGAGATTAGCTCTCGGGAGTTTTAGTTTCTGCTCCACAATGAGTAGGGAATTCATGAAAGGTCTCATTGTGGTGAAAAAAGGGATCGATCGGTCGATCGCTCGTTTAGATTGTGACCCGCTCAGCGGGTTAAGAAGGTCAAGTGGAAAAAGTCGCTTCGAGTAATATGTACATATACGATATCCGTATCGTATAACGCGTACATCACGTGTTTCTTATACGAGAATATAAGAGTAGGAATAATTATCCTCATAAAAATATCGATATGTTTGTTATTACTAGGTTACTCTTGCATTTTTCCGTTAAATCATCGGTCGGTCAAGTGTAAAAAGTTGCAGCGAGTGATAATACGAAATACGCATCATATGATGTATAAATCTTATATCATATATTTCCTTTACATCAGAGTTTTCTATATCAATAGCAGAAATAATTATCCTTATAAAAATAGAGATACGTTGGCTATCGCTAACAATAAATATTCTTCTGCTTCCGTCAATTGTTTTTTCCCAAATCGAAATTTTGATTCCCGATTAACTCAACAAATTATGTTGAGTAAAAAGATAAATATATATTTAAATTTGGGTTTCATATGAAAATAGTGATAGTAACAGAAGTGAAAGAAGA